TGGAAACCCATCACCAGTATCACGAACAAGCACTTTCAGGGCTGCACCTTTAGCTAATGTATCTATTTACTTTCAACAATAACATTTAAACAAAAACACAATGTAATATTAGTGGGATTTGAAGCAACTGACATATACATAGTAATACTAATGCATGAATTATATGCAGTTATGAATTCCCCTTAAAAATATCCAAAGCTGGTATGGTAAATTAAATTTTAATGATCTAAATTACATTTAGCATAATAATAAAATGTATGGCACGTAAAAAAAAACGAATCTCGTCCCCAACTGCCTCTAATTGATTGGCGTCACACTCTCCGCGTTAAGTGGCTAATCTCGGAGTCTTCCTGCAGCGTTGGGTTGACATTACATCTATGGAGCGTTTGCAGTGCAACGATAAATGTCCCCTTCCATCTACCCGCGCTTAATTTCCTTCATAGCTGGATGCCGGATGCGCTGAATAGGCCTCGGGGCTCGGAGCACAAGCAGTGCCGTGCAAAGGTCTCGTGAATATGCAGTTGGGTGTCCCCAGTGTCTGAATCTTCTGCTCTCTCTCTCTCTTCTTATATTGTTTCGGGTTACAGTTTGCATGAGCCGCAGGCTTCAGAGAAGAATATCGGTGAGGCTTACGGAGATCTCAACGAACACAATGAGATGTACACGTGGAACAGATTCTTGAAGACTAGGATAAAGAAACACATGCGTGTTCACTGCAAAAAAACAAAGATCCCCCGTATAGCCTTAATAGACTGTTGGGGCAAGTGGTGTTAGCGAGCACCTACGAAGGCCGGCACGGTGCGCGGTGGGGGTGGGTGACCAACAACACGCCAGGCCGCCTTTGTCTCCCCAGTGGCGATGTTTCCACACCGCACCAGGTACTCAGTTGAGGCCAAATCGACCCACGGGAGGCCCAGGGACCGGCTTAGATGATCGTCGCTGGTGTTGGTGGCCGTGAGTGGGAATCCAACGCTAGTGGCCGGGCGCGTGGCGCACCACGCTAACTGCTGCACTGCAGCTCCCCATACTGGTTCACTACGGACACTTCCTCACCGGCAGTCAGTGGCCCCTTGAACACTGTTCTATGGCTACTACTACCACGGTTACTGTTCCCATGAATTTCACTCATTGATTCCTCCATCCGTGTTCAACCATCATGCTGCAGATCACAACAACTGCTCCCTCTGCATACCTGCACGACTCGATTATAGAAGTACCTCGCATCTTCTCTTTTCGCAAGTTCTTATAACCTTGCTTAATGAAGAAATGGTTTAACTCTCATCTTCTGCGCATTCAATCACACCATTTGTTGCTGGCACGTCAGCGTTTTAGACCCATCATAAAAATGATTCTGAAAATAGATGTTTTTCAAAGTTAGATGTCACCATTCGTCACATTCTGACAACAGAACAAACTAAATATTTTACTTCACGTGTTACTTTGCAATGAGTGCTTCAAGTCTGAAACTTGAAACAGAAATTTGTAAAAGAACCCAATTATGCTGCACATTTTTTAGTTCAACGTCAAACTTTCAGAATTGTTCAGCTGCTCTTAGTATGATGAAGGGTTTCTAAGTGTTTGGCGATGATGGAGTCTGTCAGTTGGCTTCTCACTTCAGTTCAGTTTGTGTAATCAGTTTTGTATGACACATGAATTCACGGAACATTAATGTCACATTTCGATTTCGATTCACGAAACGTCGTGAGAATATTATTGTGTTATTTTATTTTATCAATTTATTATTTTATTCTCATTCTACGTGACTTTACCGAAAGAACCAAAGAACATTAATGTCACATTTCGATTTAAAGCTTTCGTGACTGCAGGGATTCATATTCTTGGTTCTTTCGGTAAAGTCACGTTGAAGGGAAATAATAAAATAATAAAAATATAAAACAACAATTCTCACGACGTTTCGATTGCAACACAAGAAATTTCAAAATTGTATTGCTGTGGTTTTCACACCTGATGATGATTGCTTGTGTTGCAATCGAAACGTCGTGAGAATTGTATTGTTTTATTTTTATTTTATTATTTCCCTTCTACGTGACTTTACCGAAAGAACCAAGAATATTAATGTCACAATTGCATATACACCAACACAAAAGGGGAATACTATCAAACAAATCACGACGTTTCGATCACAACTCAAGCGATCGAAACGTCGTGATTTGTTTAATTTTATTTCTACCTACGTGACTTTACCGAAAGAACCATAGAGTATGATTCCTGCAGTCACGAAAGCTTTAAATCAAGATCGGACCACTAGTGTTCATAAGAATAAGCATACGTTTTAGTTGATATTATTGCTAAATTAACACTCACTTCCATGATGAAGCAAATAAACAGTTAATCTCTGCATTCCTTATCAATGTTTTTTCTTAGTACCAGGGCATAGGTTAAATGTGCTCTCACACTGCTAATAATTCTAGCACCTCAGCACATATATACTCATCGTTGTGGAAAATTACATATTGTGCAGTTCACTCAAGGGCTTGGATTTGGCGTGCATTTTTCATCATGTTGTAAAGATGTCTCCTTTTGTTCTATTGGTTCTTGGCTGTAGGCTCATTCGAATGTGGCTAATGAAATTTAATGATTGATCTGGCGTTGGAATCACCAAAGAATGTACGAAAATGTCGTCTTATCGCTGCTGCTGCTGCTGCTTTCACTTCGATAAAAAATGCCCTCGTCAAATATATTTTGCGGGGCGCTTTGCTCACTAGAAAGATATAGACCGATTGAGAGCAAAATGAGAGGTTGCCATTAAAACTTCATCTTATATATGTTATTCTTTATAAACTATAATTAATTACTGGTATGATATATGTATTTTTTTCTGAAATGAAATTGGTGTGTGCTACTCACATTTTCTATGAGTATTCCGTGAGCTCACGACTTCTCCACGAAGAGAGATACTGTAGGTTGAATGTGCCATAGAACTGGGCAGGATGTTTTATTAGCCAAGTTAACGTTTAAATTAATTAAATGTTTTAATATACATATGTATTGTGCCCCCCTCAATTTTCACAATGAGTACTTTCTTCACAATTAAAGGTCTCGGACAACTGAAGCCTGTTTAACAACACGTTTTTAGGTTTTTTCGACATTGTACCCGCAATAATCTTGAGTTGACAGTTTAAATAATAACCTAATAAGGCAAGGACTCCTGGATGAAATGCTCTAAATGATCACTACCATCGATGTTAGATAAACTATTTTATAGCTATCCTAGTGTGGTGAATCTTGAAGCACTGGGTTGCAAGAGACTTGGGTTGGAGGTAGTGATAAGGATCGGCGTGTGTGCGAGTCAGTAGTGTAGCTGTTAGCCGTGATGCGCAACGAACTCGGGATCCCACGTTCGATTCCCGCTCATGGCCAACACCAGTGACGATTATCTGAACTGGTCCTGGGCCTCTATGAAGTCGACTCAGCCTCAAACGAGTACCTGGTGTGTTGGCCACCCACCGCCCTCATGCGATGCGCCGGCCTTCATAGGTGTTGGTTAACAGCACTTGCCCCAACAGTCTGTTCAGGCTACACGGGGGATCTTTGTTTAAGAGTTAGTGCACTGTACAATTTTGCCAAGGCAATCACCTGTCAGTGGCAAAACTCTATACCTGAATGAGGTAAACTGGTGGCTCGGAAGTCAGAGCTCTGAACTGGTACTGCTGAGGTCCTGGGTTCAAATCTTGGCGGTGAAACAGCATATTTTGTAGTAAGTTTTGACCGTACCAACATTAAAAAAAAATCAATCTTTGGGCTTACTTTGACTAAAATCCAGCTCTGAAAATTAGAAACATATCAGTTTGTCATATGATGAACGTCACTCTCTAAATCGGCGTGGGTGGAAATGTGCTGCCCCCTAAGGGTGTAAAAATGTCTCAGAATGATCTCAGAATTAATTATTTTATATTCGCTTCTGTGGGCTGTTCTTTAAACATGCAGGGTTACGCTGCTCTGTGGAGGATCCAAATTGATTGTTTTATCTTATGACATGGAAATTAGTGATAGCACATTCCAGATACAATTGTGTGAAAAAAGACAAAAAAAATCCAAATATATACTTATACAAAAAGTAACAAAACACATTTCTCAGCTTCCTTGTAAAAAAGTGTAAAATTAATATACATATGCCACATTTACATTTACGCTGTGTTTAGATGACGTTTATGATTATTTTTTTTAAAAGAATGCAAAGCACTTGAATGTGTACCTGGTGATCCTAGTATGGATGTCCTAAGTCAATGGTTACTCGGTACACTTAATGTGTTTTTTTAATGTAGAAGTATCGTCCTTTTTAAGATGATTGCATACAATTTGCGGTAGAATTCGTAAACTGTTGCATTTCATTATGGTACGTGAAAATTGTTACGTAATTTTTTCTATCCGTGTTACGGGAAACTTGATTGGATTTGATGATCTGTTATTATGCAATGTCATACTGTTATACTTTCTTAAACATTACCGTTTGCATCAAACTAACATTTAATTTCTTAAATATAAAAATCCATGGCTCTACGGATACATTTCCTTAATTTTAACTCTGTGTGGTGGAGAACACGGTGCTAAGAAACTGTTAATGTTGGTGCTGTATCTGTCGGTGACTGTTTGCAGCGATCCTGTATTAATAGTTGAACATTGCTCGTGTTTCCCATCATATATTAATCATCCCAGCAGTCATGGTTTTGATCACTGTGTCCCAGCTCTTCCATATCATGAATAGATTCCTTATTATAAACTTTAATCACATCCGCCCTATAATATTTTCATAAGACTATAATCCCCCATGCTAGCTTCTTTTGCCTTGCTCTTCCTTCTGTGTTTTGAGTGAAAGAATACGTGTGGCAAGCAGCTTCTGTCATCTTTGTGGGCCCTCTCTGCCACCTGCGAATGTGATTTCTGCCTATTGCTGCGCTTTAATCTTTGTCCATTTCCTTCTCTCCTGCACTCTGATTTCTCTCTTCATTGCTTTGTTTGCTGGCCGCCACGTTGCACAGCACTGGAGGGAGGAGGTAAGTGGGTCACTGGGCTGCCTGCTACCACAGTCACACACGCATGCAAAAAAAAACTCCAAAAGACAAAGAAGAATTTGCACAAACGAATTTGTTTGAGGTCATATTCTTGGTTCTTTCGGTAAAGTCACGTTGAAGGGAAACAATAAAATAATAATATATATGAAACAATAAAATTCTCACGACGTTTCGACTGCAACACAAGCAGCCATCATCAGGTGTGAAAACCAACGGTAAGAACATTCGAAAGAAATGTTCTTGCCGTTGAAAGAAATATTCTTGCCGTTGGTTTTCACACCTGATGATGACTGCTTGTGTTGCAGTCGAAACGTCGTGAGAATTTTATTGTTTTATATATATTTTATTGTTTCCCTTCAACGTGACTTCACCGAAAGAACCAAGAATATGAATCACTGCAATCACGAAAGCTTCAAATCAAAATTTGCTTGAGGTCATTAATTTTTTTTATAGGACAAAGGCTCCTATTGCGTCCTGTCCTCTACTGGTGACTGAACATGTTTATGTGCTATACTTGATTACTTATGCAAAACACCTCAATGTGTAATCAATATGTCAACATCATAATTATCAGCGTCAGTGACCTTCATAGCCACTGCTCTAGTTGCCAAGGTAGCTTTCAATCTGACAATTTGTATTTGGTGCAGTGGACACATCTGTTTCATACGCCCCATGTATATAAATTTGGAGTCATTGGCTTTGCGTTGCTTATACTGTACTGCAGTAAATTGAACACTACTCGCTGCTTAAGCATAATAACCGGAATATTTCTATTACAGTGGCATTGTTAGTAAACATCTGCATTATCGTATCAACAAATCAAACAAATAAGCCGTTCACTGGTGAGCAGATAATATTTAACTTTCTTATCATAAATCAGTGTGTGGCTGAAACACAAGTTGGAGTGGCTCATTCAAACAACATAAAACCGTCCACCACATCCTGTTGTTGGGGTGGAGGGTGGGCGGGCGGCGGCGTATGCGGGTAGCCCGGTTGTTTTCGGGCCATTGAATTGTTTAGTCTCTGGGGGATGTGGGAAACATTCTTCAGTTTATACGCAGCACTGTGTACTGTGGCCTTCGGCTTAACCTCATCATCTAACGCCCCCCTCTGCTGGTGGATGTGGAAAAGGGGCCGTCTCACCATGTTGTATTCGGTTTTTTATTGTAACAAAAACAGATTAGCATTTACTTTGCTGTAACTGTTGTGGTCATTCAAATTTACAGTCATCTCTCTGTAGGCTATTAAAATATATATTATATTCCACTTGTAACCAAAGCAGTGGCACCACGGTGGCTAGGAGATGTTAACTACCTCGCCTGGTATACAGGAGGTCGTGGGTTCGATCCCAACCCTGACGGCTGTATATTTGGAGTTTGCATGTTTCTCTCCCCGTGGTCGTGTGGATTTTTTTTTCCTGGTCCTCCAGATTCACCTCCAGATTTAGAAACATGTGATTAGAGTATTTGGCTGCTATACATTTCCACGTGATAAGCCACTACGGTTGAGAAATCATTTGTGACCAAGTCACTTCTGAAAGTGAGCTATATAGCTTAGCGGGCCTTACCTGGTAACATACAAAAGTGTATCTTCTTTGGTTCTTTCGGTAAAGTCACGTAGAATGAGAATAAAATAATACATTGATAAAATAAAATAACACAATAATATTCTCACGACGTTTCGGCCACAACACAAGCGGCCTTCATGGTCTGTATTGTGGCCGAAACGTCGTGAGAATATTATTGTGTTATTTTATTTTATCAATTTATTATTTTAATCTTATTCTACGTGACTTTACCGAAAGAACCAAAGAGGATGAATCCTTGCAGTCACGAAAGCTTTAAATCGAAATATACAAAAGTTTAGTTTGTAGTTTTAGACAAAAACGGAATAATTTTTGGAGACTGCAATTTGGTGGGCTTTGGGAATTTCACAACGCATGCCGCGATGAGGCAAGGGGGCTGCTGCTCCGCACAACTGCTCGACAGATGTCTTCCACTTGCACTCATGGTCGAAGACATTAGCCACTTCCGTTATGTGCCACAGTGGCTCCCATCTAAAAGCCAGCCTCAATGAATAGGAATTGGCACATCGTAAAAAAATACTAGTTTTACGACAACCTTTCTTGCATTCAATTAAGTTAGTTATTTGTTCATCAGTTATTGAGGGTTTCAGTGATGGCTTGATAGTTTTAACAAGCTGCACTATGAACCCGGCGACTTGAGTTTAAGCCCCAGCGAGTGATATTTGAACCAGTCCTTACCGCCGCCCCCCCCCCCCCCCCCACCTTCTTAACAAACCCACCATGAAGCAGCTTGATGAAGTATGGTCGAACCACCACCATAACAACAATGGCTTGGTGTAGCATTTATCTAGCAGTAAATTGACAAAGGCCTGCAAATTATGAAATTAATCTCTGTCATAGGTTTCTTGACTGAATTTTGTCCGTGCATTGTCAGCAGTGTGCGTCTGTACGATGGGAGAGCAGCTTTATCAGCTTATTGTGTCTCGTTTCCACAATGGTAACAGTTTAGCCACAAACTGTGTTGAACAGCATGCTATTTAGATTAGCGGTTTTTATCCTTTATGGACCCGTTGACCCAATGTCAACCCTTAACATTTTTCCATGCACCACAATGCACCAATAACATATTTGTGTTAACTCCTCTAAAAGCGCTCTAAAATGTTAGTTTATAAACCCATACTTAAAAGAATTAACCTGGGATTTGGTGAAATACATTTTAATAAATCTGGAACAGTTTTGTGGACCATTTCCCACGCACTGGCGGAGCCAGGATTTTCAGGTAGAGGGGGCAACCCCTCCAGCAGTGAAAAATTATAGGAGTTGTTAGTAAGTCAGGACTTGTTAGTAAGTAAGGAGTTGTTAGTAAGTCAGGACTTGTCCCTTGCTTTTTATTCACGCGTGTGCGGCGATGGCGCAGCCATCGATCAAGGGTCGAATTCGAACCGCGCCGGCATCGCGCTCGCTGAAGGTGTTTGCCTTCAGGGAAGTTGTGTACACTCTATACGCAACTGCGCACAATTCTGAGTCACTTATAACTGCTTTGCCGTTACTTATTTGCAACTATGGATTCAGACTATTGTCTTATCATTTCATAGAGTCCCTGGCACATTATAATATTTTAAACAATGGCAGTGGGGGTCGCAAAATGCCGATTTATTACTAATAAACCCTAATGATCCTATCAAAAACCCTAATTTCGATCGGATCATTGGGGTTTATTAGATGATTGGAGGGGCACGTGCCACCCCACTCTCCTCACTGGCTCCGCCAGATTTGGCCACATTTTTTTTGTATGGGGCCAAAGGGAAACTTTAAGAAATGACTCCCCCTATCATTACAAAAAAGCATTCCCTGTCATGCCAATGTAAACGGGGTGCTGATGTAATTATGGATTAAGGCTGGAATCAATAGCCATCTCACAGCTAAAATTATTCCCTGTGATGATGATCCATGCTGTAGCCTAACCCTTTGGCTATGTAATGTTAACATTCTTCCTAATGCGCACGTTGCTAAGGAGTTATGTATGTGTGTATGGGTTTGCGTGTATTTTTATCATGCAGGTCCGGAAGCATGTCAATGACCTCTACGAAGACATGCGGGATGGGCATAACTTAATCACGTTACTGGAGGTGCTTTCTGGGGACACGCTGGTAAGCCTCGTGATGCATCTACATGTTTTATGGTTTTATAACCACAAAATGTTATTCATGCATAAATTAAGGATTAATGCGGAGTAGGGCATTACAAAATGACGTACCCGGCGGCTGGGTTTAGTAGAAAAAATCCTTCGGTGGACATGCAATTCTCACAGTTGTTTTGAAACTACGATAGTAAAATAAGTATAACACATGTGCCCGAAGATGACCGCTTAGAATCGGTGGACATTAACCTTCCGTGACATGGATTGGTAATGTGGCCTTTGACAGACTATGGAACACAAGCTTTAGAGTATGAAAATTAACATGGAGAGCTGCATGCTGGGACTTGCCCTTGGAGACAGAAAGATGAAGATGAATCAGAGAACAAATGCAAATTAGAGACTTTTACGGTCAAGAACATGAAGTGCGCTTGTGTAGGACCTATCAAGTATGCATGTATGTTTAACTTATTTTGCACTGTATGTAGCCAACCATGATAATCGGAGGAGCGGGGGCAGGACAACAAGAAATAAACACAGAAAGCAGCTCTTCAGAAATGAGTTTTCAATCTAGATTTAAAAGGGCATAACTCCTGTAGACTTCCTCATATTGAAAGGAAGATCATTCCAGAAAGGTTTGTGGCCAAAGGATGAGACTGCTCATGAAATGCCAACCAAAGGTAGGCACAAACCCCCCCCCCCCAAGCAGTAGACCACCACCGATATGGAGTGATGAGATCGGCTTATGTGCAGGCCCTGTAGATGGATTGTAGCAGTGCAGGACTGTGAGGGGTGGGGAGGTGGCAGCGACATGGGGAGGTCTTTATCCAGGAGTAGCTCGAAAACCGTCGGATGAGAACAATGTATTTGTAAATGCAACGGTGCTGAATCCTTGTATAATAATGCATGTGTTGTCTTGCGTACTTCTCATACTTGAACGTTTCTTTCGTAGACAGTAATTACACGTTTATAATAATAAACAAAACAAATAGTATTGTTAGCTAAAAAAACTAAATCATTTGTGAACCCACGAATGGCACTCTATTGTGTCAAACGTTAATGTTTTATTATTATTATTTTGGCACACCGGTGCCTAAGCTAATGTATCGTTAATTTATGGATTTAATACAAGTATCAGCAAAATGCTTTGTGAGGTCTGTGAACAGCTGTCAGTGGGATTAGTTTTGGTGGTACACACATGGAGTTGTATGTGCGTCTTAACATAAAAAATGGTTTTGGGAAGGTTTTTTTCAAGATTCAGATTAAATTAACCTATTTGCTTGTGAGCAATTGCCTCGTCAATAGTTCTAGATTCATATCTGAAGCTGCAAATAGAAAAACCCCATTCATCACAGGTGGTGAATTACAATTATCACTTGGTATGTTGTATCGTAATTTCTCAAATGCATAATCTCTCAAATTGCATCAGTCATTTGTAAAATAAAAAAGTGCTTTTAATGTGACTGCATATTTTTGTTCGTTATTGATAAGACTTTAAAATATACATATATATTGTATTTACCAGCTTGGCGTGATGCAGTGAGGGAAAAAAGTATTTGATCCCCTGCTGATTTTGTACGTTTGCCCACTGACAAAGAAATGATCAGTCTATAACTTTGATGGTAGGTTTATTTGAACAGTGAGGGACAGAATAACAACACCAACATCCAGAAGAACGCATGTCAAAAATGTTATCAATTGATTTGCATTTTAATGAGGGAAATAAGTATTTGACCCCTCTGCAAAACATGACTTAGTACTTGGTGGCAAAACCCTTGTTGGCAAGCACAGAGGTCAGGCGTTTCTTGTAGTTGGCCACCAGGTTTGCACACATATCAGGAGGGATTTTGTCCCACTCCTCTTTGCAGATCTTCTCCAAGTCATTAAGGTTTCGAGGCTGACGTTTGGCAACTCGAACCTTCAGCTCCCTCGATAGATTTTCTATGGGATTAAGGTCTGGAGACTGGCTAGGCCACTCCAGGACCTTAATGTGCTTCTTCTTGAGCCACTCCTTTGTTGCCTTGGCCGTGTGTTTTGGGTCATTGTCATGCTGGAATACCCATCCACGACCCATTTTCAATGCCCTGGCTGAGGGAAGGAGGTTCTCACCCAAAATTTGACGGTACATGGCTCCGTCCATCGTCCCTTTGATGCGGTGAAGTTGTCCTGTCCCCTTAGCAGAAAAACACCCCCAAAGCATAATGTTTCCACCTCCATGTTTGACGGTGGGGATGGTGTTCTTGGGGTCATAAGCAGCATTCATCATCCAAACACGGCGAGTTGAGTTGATGCCAAAGAGCTCCATTTTGGTCTCATCTGACCACAACACTTTCACCCAGTTGTCCTCTGAATCATTCAGATGTTCATTGGCAAACTTCAGACGGGCATGTATATGTGCTTTCTTGAGCAGGGGGACCTTGCGGGCACTGCAGGATTTCAGTCCTTCACGGCATAGTGTGTTACCAATTGTTTTCTTGGTGACTATGGTCCCAGCTGCCTTGAGATCATTGACAAGATCCTCCCGTGTAGTTCTGGGCTGATTCCTCACCGTTCTCATGATCATTGCAACTCCACGAGGTGAGATCTTGCATGGAGCCCCAGGCCGAGGGAGGTTGACAGTTATTTTGTGTTTCTTCCATTTGCGAATAATCGCACCAACTGTTGTCACCTTCTCACCAAGCTGCTTGGCAATGGTCTTGTAGCCTATTCCAGCCTTGTGTAGGTCTACAATCTTGTCCCTGACATCCTTGGAGAGCTCTTTGGTCTTGGCCATGGTGGAAAGTGTGGAATCTGATTGATTGATTGATTGCTTCTGTGGACAGGTACCTTTTATACAGGTAACAAGCTGAGATTTGGAGCACTCCCTTTAAGAGTGTGCTCCTAATCTCAGCTCGTTACCTGTATAAAAGACACCTGGGAGCCAGAAATCTTTCTTATTGAGAGGGGGTCAAATACTTGTTTCCCTCATTAAAATGCAAATCAATTTATAACATTTTTGACATGCGTTTTTCTGGATTTTGTTGTTGTTACTCTGTTTCTCACTGTTCAAATAAACCGACCATTAAAATTATAGACTGATCATTTCTTTGTCAGTGGGCAAACGTGCAAAATCAGCAGGGGATCAAATACTTTTTTCCCTCACTGTATTGACCAAAATGTAACATATTGTGGGTTTACTCTCCAACACACCGGTGTGTTGAACTAGTAACTAATTGGCACGTTTTGTTTACATGACAAACCTTTTTCAAATTGGCTGTGTTGGGGAGGGGGAGGTGGCGGGTTTCACTAAACATTTATATTTACGTGACCTAACCCCAAGGAAACCCCTTATGGATGTCTGTTTCTTTTTCATATCGCTTCTTCCTGATCCTGCCACGCAACAGCAAAGGGAAAAAGGGCGAATGCGATTCCACCGACTTCAGAATGTCCACATTGCACTTGAATACTTACGGCACCGCCAGGTATGAAACTCGCACTTTCATTCCATTCCCGTGCCAATTTCTTTTTTATTCACGCTCATGTGATGAAACAATACGAATAGGTTTCACCATTTCTGACCTTAAAATAGGAGGCGATAAGGTGTTCAAACATCAAATATATATCTTTTTGCATGCCATAAAGTCTGCATTAACCACACATCCTTGTGGTAAAACGTGCAAACAAACATACTTTGATAATAAATGCATTTTCTTTGAAACTGATGGCCTTATCTTCATGCCTGTGTTAGACCAGAGAATGCTAAAAGGCGAACAGTACAAGGACAATGCACGTGTCAGAGTATTTATAGTTCGGGTTGAGCAGTTATATCGCTAAGAAATCTATAGAGCTCTAGGTATAACTGCTCAACCCGAGCGTATACCCTTTTGGTGTTTGGACATCTTAACTACTGTTTTATTTTTTGATTTAAATCTTTCGTGACTGCAGTATATATTTTATTATTTTATTGTTTCCCTTCAACGTGACTTTACCGAAAGAGCTAAGAATATACTGTTTTATTGCCAGAAAGGGTAAAATCTATTTTTATTGGTTTCATCATTTTGATTCTGGCAAAAAAGGTATCCCATAGATCACACCCGCACGTTTGGTCAGAACATTCAATTATTTTTCTGCTGGTCGACGTCGCCGTGGGAGTATCTCACAAGACCCTGTGATATGTGGCGAAATAAATGTCACGAGTGTGCCAATTTAGCCCTTTTCAAATTCCATGCCAGGAGTAGTTTTGTAGCACTGCTACCATTTAATTATTCGTCTCCATGCGTATATATATTTTTAATCAGGTGAGAGCCAGTTGAGACTCTCATTCTCAAGGGAGACCTGAGTCAAATAACGCACGGCAGTAATAATGTGATAAAAGGTCGGCAATAAGAATGTACAGAACCTTGACTATTATGAATGCATTTAGAAATACATCTTTTCTAAGACGGAAACATTCACATGTCCAGTAAATACATTTTAAAATCAGGTAGAAGGGATGGAGTGCAGCAGTGGTACATTGGTTCATTATGAACCTGGTGACCTGAATGGTATTCCTGACCACGGCTAAAGTCTGTGGAGGGTGATATCTGAACCAAGCCAACCCCTGGGCTCTCGTACCAACCTAAACTGGCCAGAGTGGTGAAGTATGGTCACACAACCCAAATAAGTAGTTACGCGATATAATTGTTGCACACACAATTATTCTAACAAGGGGATTGCAAGGATCTGTCAGAGTTCTAAATGAATAATTCTCATGGCATAACACCAAGAGCACAATGAGAATGCAATTGGAGAAAAGGCAAAAGCATATGAGGAAAATGCAATTATTTTAAATTGCATCTGAAATGTATGGATGTTCAAGTATTTATATCGCCTCCTACTTGCTGCCCCACAGATCAAGCTCGTCAACATCAGAAGTGATGACATTGCAGACGGGAACCCCAAGTTGACCCTGGGATTAATATGGACCATCATCCTCCACTTTCAGGTAGCGAATCGTTTTCAGAAGTCCACAAGTGACTTGAAACACACCGCTGCGGTGAGCATTTTCATACGGGGCGATCTTTGTGGCCGTGCTACGGAAGACGCCGAAACGTCACCGAAACGTCGTGTTTGTCATCGGTTAGCAGAGACCAACTGGAGCCAGCCGCCTTCAGGGGGCGTTGCTGGCGTGACGGCGTGGGGGAATGTCTGTGCGGCGTTTGCAAACGGCTTTGCCAAAGGTCACGTCTATTGCTTACTTACCACTGAACGGCTGTTTGTCTTTGCAAAGTCAACAAGCCCCCCTTTAATGATTACTAGCACGTAGTTGAGTTTCGTTGCACGGTACATTTCTCATCGAAATTAACGTTGCAGGTCAACGTCAATGTGTACGTCTCATGTTTGTGTATCTACCTAAATTTGTATGTGTGTCGTACATGTACCTTTGGTCACATGCCTGAGGTAGCGACTGTACAACTGTTGATGATTCCGAGACTGGAGTACAAACATTACATGAATCATTGTTGAGACTTCGGAGTTGAATACACGTGTTGACACCTCGTTATTCAATTGATAAATGCCAGATGTTTGGGAGCTATTCTTCTTCCACGGTTGGTTGGGAAGCTATTGGGCTTACATTTTTGGTTTACATTTTTTTTATCAAAGGCGTTTTACATTACTTAGAAGCATAGGCCTATTTGTCAGCCATTACCAGGACAATTAGAGACTAAACGTTATCTTGTAAGAATATAAACGCTTAAAAATGTAACACGACCCCACTAACATTCTTAACAGTTTTAAAACACTGTGTCATAGTAATGCTTATCCATTTATAGTGTCCCCTATTCCAGTTGGTATTTTCCAAAGCTGATGCCAAGCCAACAGCAGTGTTTAATATTCATTATGGCCTTGCCAACCATGACACTATGCTGAATGACGCATGTGAAAAAAGATTTGCGCTTTTATTTAGATCATGTCGCCTTGTGAGTTGGTGCAAATATTATAGGGAGACATTTGTTTACATCTATACCAAACCTACAGTTGCATATTTTGTTTTAATCATTGCTATATGTGCACTTATTATAACTATCGATTTCAGGAACATACAACATATTTGTATTAAAAGTAACGTTCCAAATTGTATGATTGCGACCACATTACTTACATCACTTGTGGGGGAGGTACATTCCACAGTCCTCGTGTGTGAATACCAGCAACAGATCTATGAGCAAAGCAAAGGACGTTGCACGCAGGATCTTGATGTTTAAAACGAGACTGTAAAAAGAAGGCACTTAGTCCTTGTGAAGTCTCAGTATATATCTGTGAAAAAAATAAGCGCATATAGCGCTTTTTGTACTTTTTCATACTTGGCGGATTATGGTCGTGTCTATGAATCATGCCAGGTGCGGGGATCGATGCTAGGGATGACCTTCACTGATATATATATGACAGCTTACATATTTTCAGCGACACAGGCTGACACGAGCACAGTACCTGTTTCCCTTTCTCGTGCGAAATGGTGTTTCGTACCCCAGTGCACGTAGTCTCGTGCGTTAGCTCTCCAGTCGGTTAAGAATCGGGGGGGGGGGGGGGGGGGGGGAGATGGGGGGGGCGTAAATATGTTACTGGTTTAGAGTTGCTGGTGTTGTCTAGGCTTCCAGGAAATGTATTCTCCCAGCCTGCCAGCAGTTTGGAACAGTAGCCTTGGGGCAGGGCAAAATATTACAATGAGCACGGGCCAGCAGCCTATGGGCGCTGCTCGCTTGTTTGGCAGCCTCTCCCCTCCCGACCCCGCTCGCCACACTCGCTTCTCTGGTCGCGGAGCAGCTGATCCCAAAGTGAGCTGCCTGCTCCTACGCGGCAGCAGGCTACGTTTGTAGAGGCCGGCGTAAAAGGATGGCCATTCCGCTGAGTGCCGTGCCGCCGCCGTAGTACGTGTCATCAGGATTTCAGCGTCAGCGCTAATGGCCGACTGCTCAAGGAGCTCCGAGGTGTGATTAGATTTTGCTGCCTGCCTGCCTGCCTGGCCCCCCCCCCCCCCCCCCCCCCCGGATTACGGTCGTATCGATGAACGTCGCCAAGCTTAGGAATCGGTGCCATGGGGAATACGTGCGGCTGCGTCAGGGAGCAGAAGGAAGAACTGGTCGTTGATCCAAGCAAAGCGCCGCTGGACTTTGATCCAGCAAAGGATAAGGACGCCGCCAACAGGAAGAGGTGGAAAAAATGGAGCAAAAGGCAAGCATCGTCTGTAAAGTCCCAGTTGTCGCAAGACCTCGACCCGCATGCGGGAGAAGCCGAGACCCCGACGCAAGCTTTTCACCCGTGGCAGGTCGGTGACGTTAGCAACAGAAGCATTTTGCCGGCAGAAAATATCGACCATGTTGACATGGGGATGTTAAAAAATCCAATTGTCTACCCTGCTGAACGTGAGCTCGCCGGATATGGATGTGAGGCTGAGGAGGCTAGCAAGAAGACACTACCTATGAGCGGGAGAGATAATAGTCATCTGGAAAACTGTTCAAGTAATAATTGTGTGATTGAGTCCACTGGTGGTTCAGAACTGTGCGGGCAAGAGAAGTTGAAACCAGATTCTGTGTCGGCCGCCCGTGGCTCAGCGGAGCATGTTAATAATAGATGTCCTACACACGTGAGCGGCTCGCCAGCATTACAACGAGATAATGAAGACGACCGCAAAAGACCAGCTTCGTCGAGTGTGTTGGCCAGTTCCAGTAGCGAAGACAAAGTTGACAGCGAAGCGCCGGGATTTTTTACTTCTGGTTCTGCCGTCTTCGAGCAGCCAGTCACAGATGGGTTGGCAACAGACAAGAGGGCAGCTGTGTTGGTCAGCCACGAGCATCTCTCATCGGAGCTTGTGGATTATGGCAACGGTGATGCATCAGATCTGGGGGAGGATGACAATCCTGCTTCTCCTGATTTTGAGAGGCATTTGACGTTTAGCTGCAATGAAGTTCTACACATTAATGAGGACGGTTTGCAAGATGACGAGACGGTTGACGATCTTCCCAGCGCTGCGCCTGGCTGGGCAAGAGGTCAAAGGGTTGATGATAAGGCACGGCCACGTGAAGAAGGGGCTCGTAAGCCAGTTAATTCTCCATCTGTTGTTGGGAAACCAGCCTCGGAAATTAATGACTCGGCCCATGGTGGTGAAGTATGTCAAAGACACATTCATCAGAGCGGCATAATTAAGGCTGTTCACAGGCAAGAGGTAGGACCCTTTTCCGTTTTAAAAATCAATCACTTTCACCGCAATGACCAGTGGTGATGTTTAAGTCTCATAACATTGGTTGCATGTTTTCAAACTGGAAGCATTTACAACACTACTGTGTTGCCCTCGTGTGTGCTCGTGTAAAGCGTCGTTCAAGTTAACACATTGAGGGTTTTTTTTTAGCTGTGTGAAAAAAAATAACTCCTAAAAAATATAAACTCAATACATGTCCAATATTGAGTGTGAACCATGCTGCAATGCACTCCACTGTGGAGTAACCAACCGTAAGTGAGCAGGCAATTTACTTGAGCAGATTAAGTTCTTACGGTGGCCAGAGCTGGTACAGTGGGGCGTTTGTGTGGTTCAGTTGCTTTATTCTAGAATGGTTGGCAGATGTTGAAAATGTGCTCATTATGGCTGGGTTTGGGGCCTCTATAAGTAATCGTGCACACCCTCAAGAACTGTAAAGCATGTGTTTTTCATTGAACTCCTGTGCGTATTGATTTGCGGCAGGAGCAGCTGCGTTGAACAGGACGTTTTGTTCGCTTGGCTCAATCGGCGTTCATTATTTTTTGTCGTTTGTTAGTGACATGTATTTGTTTTATGTGTACCTTGTTTTGAATTGACTTATCCGTGAGATGTGTCATTTCGAGGACCTCGGACAACAACAATAAATCTAATACTTTGCGAATAATGACTGAAGATTCATAGGACTTAAAATGTTAATTCGTTCATCATTTAAAGAAATAACTTCTATTTCTTAACGTTGGAAACTCTGATAGCAAATTCTTATCCACCTTAAATAATTTCCATTTGTATCTACCCACAATAAATATTTTTTTAAAAATCGAAAACTTATTTCGGATGATTTTTGTTTTGCTTATTTTTCTTGTCTAACTTTGCAGCGTTCTTCATTATATTCTTAGATAATTTTCTGTTATTTATTTCCATATATTATGAGTGCCATCAGAAAACAAGTCTCAATTCATGGCCATACCTTTTTTCTCCAATATAATTGTACAAAAATGCCTTCTGATGTCGCTGGGAATGCATGTATGTTTGAAGTTATTTGACACAGTACGTAGCCAACCATGCTTATCGGAGGTGCGAATAACATTAGTGAGAGTGCATCTCATTACCTGGCTCCGCTTATGATATCTTATTTGTTACTCTCTTCATGTGTTACTCTCTTCATGCAGTCTCAATATAACTTTTCCATCCTTGTAGATGGTTTCATAATTTCTAATGTTTTATTTTATTTCATACTGTACCTGATTTGTGTGGACTTTGACTGCAGATCATTTATTTGAGTAAAATGCCTTTCCTTAGTCGACAATAGCAAGAACATTTTTAGTCTTTACCAGAATCTGATTTCAGAATCTGATAGGGCGCCGTGGTGGTGAGATGTTAAATACCTCGCGTGGTATACAGGAGTTCGTGGGTTCGATCCCAACCTTGATGTCTGCTGTATATTTGTAGTTTGAATGTTCTCCCCGTGGTCGCATGGATTTTTCTCCGGGTCCTCCGGTTTTTCCCTCCACACTTAGAAACGTGCGTTTAGTGTATTTGGCTGCTATAAATTTCTACATCATAATCCACTTAATTAAGCTATTATTTGTGGGCAGGTCGCTTCTGAAAAAGAGCTTTATAGTTTATAGTTTGATTTCGAGTATGAAAGTAGTCTCTTGGTAGAAAAACCTTTCCTAAATTCGGTTTGTTCACGTAAATAGCTGGCCTTTAAACTGCCCATTATTCTTTTGTAAATAATCTATATACATGAG